GGGGGGGGTGGGGGGAGAGAGCGTTTATGACGTGGAAGGGTTTACACATGTAATAATAATGTAATCTCGTTTGTTGTGTTCATGGGTGAGTGCACAATATGACAATTTCTCCTGTAAAAAGTTCTTATTGGTGTAAATCAAAAACAATAGAAGATACATCATGTAGGCATAATATGCGGCAAAATGGGTTTCCAAATTGAAGAGAGTTCGGTCTCATCATCTCAACCCGGTCATGCCCCGACGAGGGATTCAAGTGCACTCTACCTTGGAAACGATCTAAAAGCCGGTGCTTGTCGACTTTTAACAAGCGCTAAATTTTGTCAATGTTTAATAAAGCTAATTCTTTCTTTTACTGCCCACTTACATCTAAACAACGCCTGTCACTACCCAGATGGTCCTTACCACCTCCAAATGTTACCAAATAGCCCACAAGTGTGTAATCCTGCCAAGGCTGGGAAGCACTGATCTAAATACATGTAGAGAGTTTTACTTCACCGTTTAAACTTAGTCTACTTTTGGTATGGCGTTAGGGTTCGAATTTTTACTGTACTTGCCTTTCTGATAGACTTGGGAAAATTTTCATTTTCTGTCAAGCAACTGTTCCCTAGAACGGCAATAACAGCAATAATTTAGTAACCTACTCGCTTCTCGTAACGCTGAATTCAACTTCCTTATTAACCACGAAGCTAAGAACGAGAGGTGGAGTTGTGGTGGTAGTTAATGAACATGTGAACAAAATTTAATTAAAAAAAAAAAACAACAACAAAACAATCTACTATAACAAATCTGTTTTGAAAAAAAGAAAATGAGAGAAAGGTTGAGAAACAAGAAAATAGATTTCCAAAAAGTAAAAAAAATGTAAAAAATTAAGGCATTGATATGAAAATGTTAAGAACATAATATTTTATAATAGAACAAAAAGACATGAAACAATTTAAGTAGAAGAATGAAGAAATTGAAGTGTTTATCCTCGTGTGATTATTCTTTATCACTATATTCGTAAATTGTTGGGCTTGATAGTAATTTATTTGAGGTTCGAGAATAGTACACGTGCATGCCTACAGGGAAACTGTCGTAGCTCACAATTCTTCAGGTTATAGAATTTTTCGTGCCACGGTGGCCTGCAGAAAAAAGATACGCCATGAGATAAGTACAAACGTACAGATAAACAATAAATCAAGTATTGACGAGTATCGATGACACATAATTTTTACTTTTGAAAAAATCTGTGAAACAATACATAGCAATTTATAGCCACTGAAGTAAACTGTATTTGCTTTCCCGTGAAAAAGCACACATTTAAATGTCTTTGACAACTTAAAAAGATTAAAGGACATTCGTATTGTAAATCATTTTCTACAATATAATCAACAATAAAAATTGAAATGTGAAATTGTCCTGTTTAACCCCTACCCAAGGTCTCTCTTCGTTGACAGAGTGGACGAATGCTTGATAAAAATAACAACTTCAAAATCTGCTAGTACACTCCATAATGTACATTGTATAAAAACGTCTTAACCCCCGGACGCTAAACAAACACACAGCATTTCGCATTTCTGGGAAGATGAAAAGTAATTCACACTTTCCAAATAATCGTCGGGTAATAAGTATACTGGTTGGTGAACAGATGAAAACTGAGCACAGTATCTTTTCAAAGGAAACGCTACGCTCGCCTCGTCTGGGAATTAACACAATGATCTTACGATTTGCAAGTCCGATGCCTCCAGTAAGCAGTGTACAATATAGTTTATAATATGTTCTATTCCAAATTTTAAATAATATTATCAACGAGCACAGCAAACACCTCGGGTACCAGATGACAGAATATCAAAGAAATTTCCTGCTCAAAAGAAATCAAATTCCGTTCTAAAGAAATGTCCAGGATTCTCTGAAACAAGAAACCATTGTCTTATATTATTTGAATATGGCCTATAATTTTACACATTATGCTCACTTGCTTTAGCTGCAAAGAAATATCTTGGTGACACTCAAACAACGTATTATGCAGCATACGAATGCATTATCTCCCAAAGATACTTATAAACACGGACGTGTTGGCTGACGTCTAACTTTGCGTTGCGAAGCAAATTTACCCCGGGAGACACGCGCGCTTCCTGATTATGTTTGGTGGGATTTTCCCTTCACGGACAAGAGGTTTATGATCATGTGCTTGACTCCACTTCAAAATACCACATATCTTGAAACTACATCACCCCTCTTCGTATCTCCCTGCCTTACGCTTGTCGCTCACCCTTAATAACAACTCTATTATGTGGAAGAAGACGTCCACTCACATTTCTAGCCTCTCGCACATTTGCTCTCTAGCGCATTATGTATAATGTTACTTTGTCTTAACCATATTGATTGATATACAGTTGAACGTGCTTAAACAGCCACCTACATAAGCCAATCACCTGTACAAATGGCCACTTCCTTGCATATTTTTACAGTACAATGACATTGTATAAGACGTTCACATATTTTGTACGGCCGCTTTTCTCCCCGACAACGGGTGGATGTCTTAGACAGTTTCGACTGTATATAGGCCTACGTTTTGTGAACTCCTCTATTATTAACGACGTTGTGTCCTTGGAAAAGGCACTTTTCACAAAATTCCCATATAGCTCGGTCCCGTCGGAGACGGACGTTAAACTCGGAGGTTCCGCCTCTTAAATAACCTAATAGTGTAGATAGGGGTGTTAAATCCATACCATTTCACCATTTTTTAATCTGTCATTTCATCACTTACCAATCTACTTTCCGTAAGTTGACACAACTCTACGTTATTTTAAAAAAATCTCCGCACATTAAAATGAAGAGCGTGTAAACGAGCAATAGAGGTAGAGAGGGGGAAGGGGAGAGAGAGGGAGAGAGAGAGGGAGAGAGAGAGAGAGAGAGAGAGAGAGAGA